AGCAACACGCGAGGTGGCTTAAAGAGAAAGTTTATCCCTCGGCCTGCACATTTTCCCTGTTGTAACTTATTGCATGTAGTTTTGAACCAGAAAAAACTTTTACAATTTCATACTCTCCGTAACCATTTTGACCTAAAATACACAGCAACTTTTTTTGCTGCAATAAAAAAAAAAAACAACAAAATACATCTTTATCATTTTTACTACCATAAATGATTTTTGATGCAAAGTTTCTAAATTTTACAAAAGCATTTCAATTTTTCAAACAAATCTTATAATCTGTATCAATGTAAATTATTCAAGCACATAATGGAAGAAAAGTCAATAGCTAATGATGCTATACTAGAACTTGTCAAAATTAGGTCTAAAGCCCAGATATAAACTTTCAAAGTTCCAAGCTCACTACAACATTTGTAGAACCAACATTCGATCTCTCTATTATCAAAAAATAAACATCCCAACTTGATCTTACTGGAGATATACTAATTATTAACCCATAGGATCAGTATTGCCAAATTATCGCAGAATGGCCCATTTTGACCCATACACTTGTCTTCCTTTTAATACACACGTACACCCCACGAGAAATCGAAAAGAAAGAAGCGCGCACAAAGTTAAAGTCCAGCCAAAGCTCGAAGGGCTCATTCCAAATCCAACGTCGAGTATAAAAAAAAATAGCCCCTGTCGAGTCACGCGGGAGCGTCATACATAAACAAAGAGGTGGCCGTATATAATACACGTACTCCCCGAGTCCAGGGGATGACGAGGCAGAGAACGGAGCGTTTGTATCGGGAGACGACGTGATGGAGAGCCTGAATTCCGTATTATATACATCCGCAACGGCGCGCTCGCACGTACACGGCAAACGATATCCCCGCAGCTTCGAGACTCCGTATAAGTGGCTTTTACCCTCTCTGTATGTACATATATATATACATGTACCTCTGTATATACGCGTCTTGTACTCTGGCCGAGAGTGCAAGTTGACGGAGGAATCTCTTGTATACTTCGTGTTACCTACAGCCCTAACGTCGTCTAAATTATAATTTCTCCGTACTCGCGCAACCGGAGGGTAACAACGAAACAAATCATCTACACATCATCATATGTATGGGGACACTTTTTCGACACGCTCACCCAGATAGCGTAATTTTACCCGAGTTGGTTTTATTAATATTACACGGCATGATTTGCGTTTCCTCCCATTCACCTGGACAATATGTATATCACGTATAAGGCCGTACGTATTACACCAAAGTGAAAGGGACGAGGGTGCATAAGCCGAAAGGACCGAGAGGGCTTTCCCCAAGAGCCCGAGTTGCAGCTATAGGAGGAGTGATGCATACGCCCGCGCAAAGACCAGTGGGTCGCATATATACATATATATACACACGCGGTGGAAGAGGGCGGCCCACGGCTCATCTTCGAGATGTTATTGCAGCGAGATTCCGGTGTAGCGTCCATGCAAATTATTTGAGGGCTTAATTAAATGCTCGGGGCTCTCGGTGTGTGTACCTCGCATAATGCACGGTTTGCGCGCTATATAGGGGGGAAAAGGACAGTGCCGCGCGGTAAATACGTACACACTTATATTTATATGTGTATATACTGTCTGGCCCTGCAATGGTACCTTCACTTGTAATGCCACCGTCGCTCTCTGATGTATTATACGTGCCGGAATTGAGCATCCCTCGGGCACTGAATACTGCTCAGCTGGTCGTATCATTGAACGCGAGTGTACTACAGTGAAATTACTCTCGATTTTTTCATCCTTACAAATGTACATAAAAGTGCACACGAAAGAAAGCAGAGGGAGAGAGAGAGAGAGAGATGACAAGTTATATGTATATCATACCCTCAAGGACGATTCGTGTCGATCACTTATTCCCGTCTCGGGTGACCCAGAGCTGGCCCCCAAAACGGGTGTTTTTTTTTTTTTTTTTTCCTCGACACCGAAGAGTAATAGTCCGGCCTTTCCGTCCAAGGTCCTGGTATCCCGGGAATTGAAAAGCTCAAATCCCCCCCCCCCCCACGTCGCAGCTGCGCGCAACGACTTTCTTATTATCCGGAGATGCTCGGTTAATATCTTAGAGCACACTGGACTGTATACATATGTGTGCCTATGTATGTATACACAGATACGAGTATATACTCTGTCGAGCGAAGGGTGTGCCGAGCTTTTTCCCCCGGGAATACTATACACCCATGTGTTATTCCTGCGGGCAAAACGTATAATGGAAAGAGCACGACGCGCGCCCGACTACACACTCCGAAGTTAAATGAAAAGCTCGAAAACAGTTTCCGCGCGCGTGTGCGCGAGAATTTGTCATAGTTTTGGGGCTGCGCGCGAGGAACGAAAAAAAAAAAAAATTTCCACTTTCTTAGCACGGCGTGGGTATATTTCGTTTCGTTTCTCTTCCACGTAGGGGTGTAAAAACTGTACGTTCCGTAACGCGTTGGAATCTAAGCCCGGCGACGCCTCCATTATTTCGTCAGAGTAATTTTTTCTCGTTTTCCAGGCAGTTTGTCGCGGTGTATTTATACACGCGCCCGGATTCCGAGATAAATAATCCCTGATGCGCGACTCGTGTACACCTACTTTGTTTTTTTGCCCACTCTCATTTTTCCCCGCTCCTTCCCGGACGCTCGTTTGTTAACTTCTGCTATTCGTCTTTTTTTGTTCTCTGTCGGCGTATTATTACGAATTTCCGATGTCAGGTGCCGTAAGCGATAAGGTTATCAGTCATCGCGCGGCTGACTTGGGTATTTTTTGATAACGCGGGATCTGTGGGCACGTCTCGAGAATTTTTTTTTTGCATTCCCAACGAAACAAGTTCTAGTGTACGTGACGTTTTTTCTTTTTTTTTTTTTTTTTTTCCCTTTTCTTTTCTTCCCCCCACCCAAGCAACACATTCCGCGTTTTTCAGTCTCATCATAACAAAGTTCTTCCTCGGCACAAAGGGCGCGTGACCTTTGAGTCTCCGGGGAAAAAATTCCAGCCACGCACTTCGCAAAGACAACGAGGTCGGGAGCTTTTTTTTTTTTTTTTACATTTCGCGCACGTAAAAGGCCAACGCAAAGGCGTACGGTCCGGTTACTCCGCGTTTTGCAATGTCACGCGCAAAGACGCTTTTGACACCCCACTGTAATACCATACCCACTTTTGTTTCCCCGTGAACAGCCGAGCCATTTGCAGAAATTGATTGAAAATCCATTTTACGCGCACGTAAATGTGATTCGACTCGTGCACACATACATCGAGGGCGATGATGGGGGATTAATTGGATTTACATCGGGTGCCCGAAATTAATTGAGTCGGAAGCAAAAAATTGTTCGCGCAAAGTTTATTAAGACCGAATTGGGATGGCTCCGGAGTTTGCTGGACAAAAAAAAAAAAAAAAAAAAAGAACTTTCATTAGCAGCCAGCTGTGTGTCCGTTGGTTCCAGCAGTGAGAAAGAAAGAGCCAAATTAACGTGGAGAGCCAGGGAGCGAAGGAAGAACGGAGGGCGCGTGTACAGTGGCACGTGACGAAAATTAATTAAAAGTCTCTAAATGATGAGGGACAACAATTGTGTAGTAGCCGTCGCGCCGCAAGTGTATATATACGTTGGGGGGGGGGGGTTGCGCGGGTGTCCTCCGAGAGTTTGCAGTGAATATATGGAGATGCCCGGACACACGTACACGCCGTACTACTTTTTTTTTTTGCGCTCGCACGCGCGTGCCAGATGTCATATCATCTCGTTGTTTGCTTTCTTTTTTTTTTTTTTTCTTTTCGTTCTCCTTTTTATTCTAATGCGATGCATGATGCACTTCGCTAATGAGTTCTGCGTTTGAATCTCGAGAACTAGGATGTGCGAGCCTTGCGAAACAAAATACGGGAAAAATTTTTTACAAAGGGGAGAAAGTAACCCAAGATCTCGCTGGATTGAAGAGGAAATACGACACGGCCTTTTTTTCTGCTTCTCCTTCTTCATGCAGCGAGAATAGAATTTTTTTTTCTTTTTTTTTTTTTTTCGTTGCAACAATAAATCATCCTTTTTCTATTTGCAATAAGTAGCTTAGTGCGCGAGGGACAAAAAAAAAGACTCGGCGCTCTCGCGATATTTTCTCATTAATTTTAATAATGTCCCTAACCCCCGAGGGCATATTATTCGCGACGCGGGTTTATACTTGTATATATTACTTTGCGTTTGTACTATGCACAAGTTTTTTAAGACCATTTAAAACATTATTACAGAATAAATAATATTTATGGGATTGCGTTAGCGCGATCCAAGTTTTCAACAAAAAAAAAAATGTAACCAGTAATGGCAAAATTATTATGTGGTTCTGATATGTGTAAGGAACAGCAATGCCCATTTTAATGACGGAGCTAAGGTTCTAAGTAGACACGTGTTGCGTAAGTGAATTACGAACAGTGGTGTCCGCGACAGTTAACGGAGGAGGCAGGGGATCGTACCGGAGATCATCCGAGTGCGGTGACCTACTTCCATTCCGACTGAGCTAACCTTTGCTCTGAAAACGTATGTTCGGATGTTGTACTTACTGAATAAGTTTTGCCTAAAAATAATAACAGTTGATTGTTATCTTACACCTTTTATATTTTTAGATTGACATTGGCCTTGAAAAAACCAACTCTGACCATAATTACATTAATTTCCAAATATTTTTCAATAATTTTAAGTATAGAGATACAATTTTTTGTGTCAAAAGCACAACACCCCTTCGTCCTTTTTTTTTATGAAATGTATGCGAGTATATTGACCTTATTCGAACAAAAAAATTTTTTAGTTATACATAAAATTTGCTTCTGTAACTATCACGATTAAATTGACATAAAAATAAACCATGTATTATATAATCTCATTGGCTATAAAAAGACTAAAAGAGATGTAAAAGATATCTCCGACTACCGATTATACCACTGTAATTAAAAAAAAAAAAAAAAAAAAAAAAAAACAGTAACTATTAACGTCCACGTGTGTGCGTGTCGTTGCAGGCTACGGCAGCATAGCGCCGCGCTCAATGTGGGGCAAAGCGGTGACGATGGGCTACGCTTTTTTCGGGATCCCACTGACGCTGATCTACTTGTCAAGCGCCGGGGGTTTACTGTCTAGGTGCGCCCGGGGCGTCTTCACGAGGGCCCTCTGCTGCTGCCTGTGCTCGAACTGCGGCTACTGCTGCTACGACGAGAGGCGGATGCAGGTGAGCGTATGTGTTGCATTTTCCTTTCACAATAATAATACATTTATACACATCGTACCGTCGTCACAACACTCGTCCCCACCTCCTCGGTGAATTAATTGCTATTTCAAAAGGTGATTCTCTTCAAGTGTCGTAATTTTTTTCTTTTATTTTTTTTTTTTAGTTTTTCTAAATTATAAAAGAGCTTTTTGTCATTCCGAAAGTCGGTCGAGAAACGTTTCCTCCGAGAAAAAAAAAAAAAAAAAAAAAAAAAAACTATATATACTTATTACTCTCGAGGTAGGGCAAAAATGTGTCAGTCCACATCTCACCCCTTTAAACTTTAAGTGGCACTGTTATACAACGTAGAAGAAGAGGAACCATAGCCAGAGGGGGAAGAGGACGCCTCGCAGCTGAATATTTAAACGCCGCGTATATACCTCCACCTTCTGTTCTTTCCCCCGTATTTTTTTCTTTTTTTTTTTGTTTCCGTGCTTTTTTACATTCCCGGAATTACGAGATGATGCTCCCTCTTGATCCGCAGACACACATTTCTGCTCGTCGCGGCGCATTTTTATAAATCTAAAAATCTGCTCTACACCGCCACCAGCATAACCACACACCGTAAACAAACCAACGCAAGAAAATAAAAATAAATAAAAAAAAAAAAGGTGCAGGTGGACGGGTGTTTTTTTTTAACCATCGGTATAAGCCACATAACCGAGGGCGGACGCGCTCATTGTTCTCCAATTGCAGGAAAAGGAGAGGCGCATGAAGAAGCGTCGACAGCAAGAGGAGCAGCTCCAGCAGCAGCAACAGCAGCTCCAGCTGCAAGAGCCGTTCTACGTGAGGGCCAACGTGTCGACGTACCCGAGCTCCGTCGAAGTCAAAGCCACGAGTCCCAAGGACGAAGTGTCGAGCCTCGGCTCGGGTGACCGGCCCAACGTCACGATACTCGCCCCCATAAGCATCTGCTTCGGCGCCATGGTCTGCTACATCGTAGCCGGCGCCTTCGCCCTACACAAGCTCCTGGGCTGGACCTTCATAGGTGGGTGCACTCTCACAACACACGTAACTATAAACTGTCGTGTCGCCGCAGTTGTGTACATGGATGAAAATTATCGGTGGATTTCAGACGCGAGCTACTTTTGCTTCATGAGCTTGAGCACGATCGGCTTCGGGGACATGGTGCCGGGCTCGTACCCCCACGAGAGGAGCCCCGAGGCGAGCAACGCGACCATCTGGTTCTGCTCGTGTTACATCATGTCGGGGATGGCACTCACTGCCATGTGCTTCAACATATTGCACGACGAGATCGTGCACCGGCTCTCGCATCAGCAGCCCCACGCGCTCGTGGGTGGCGACCTGCAACTCCACCACCACCACCAGCAGCAACAGCAGCACCACCACCTGCACCATCACCAGCAGCAGCAGCAGCAGCAGCAGCAGCAGCAGCAACAGCAGCAACAACAGCAAAAGTCGCAGTTGGTTGGCTCGGATCTGAGGACGAGCGCGAGCGTGGACGAGCTGCCTGGCCACCATGACCCCTTCGCCATGGCCTCGTGACAATTTCCGGGCAGCCACCAGCTGAACGTCACCGAGGAGAGCCTCTGCATGGGCGAGCCACCGGCCGTCGTCAGTATCTTCGCCCACGAGAACGAGATCAACATACTCAAGGACTCGTACGGCAGTAACCAGGTCGACGTCACGCGCGACTGCAAGCCCATACTCAAGCTCGAGGAGCACCTGAGACCCGTGCCCCCGCCTCCGGCCGTCTACACGCTCCCCGAGCTCGACGAGGAACTCGACGAGGCCAACACCGAGATGTAATAACTCCACCCTCCTCCCTAACCCCACCCCTTTTTTACCGAATCTCTCTTCTAAGCGTCTACGCCATCCATCTCTCTATCTTTCTATTTCACTCTGTGTGTATATCGTAACGTTATAACGAGTAGATTGTTAGCCAAGTATCGTCGATCGCCACCTCCTCCATCGCCGACGCGCATCGCTCCAACCTCGAGAACAATAACCAACGCTGTTGACGCGGAGATGTTTGTACGCGTTATCGCGTTCGCGGGCAAAGTAAGACAGCTCTTCCAGTACTTAGTGTGTGTGTTAGCAGTGCGCGTTGTATGTTTGGCTATTTTTTTGTTTCCTCCGTCGAGCTTTCGAACGGGGGACGGGAGTATTGAGTTGCTTCGCGGTACGGCGTGGCTCTCGAAATTCGAGTGGAAAGCTTTTTTTTTTTTTTTTCTACCCCCCGAAGTTCGAAGGCGAGAGAGAACGAGGTCGAACCTTTTGGGCAACTTGGAGCAGGAACGATCCTTTTGGGGAAAGACAAACTTCGCATTACACCGGTGGAGAGTGTGATAATTCGAAGGACAAACGAAGGGAGCAAAAGTAATTGCAGCGAGTTATATGTATACGTATGGTGTCGCCAAGATTTTAGCTGTGGGAAAAGTCCTCCTCGTCGGCTCGGAAAAGGAGTCACGGAGCTCGTATTATGTATCTTTTTCTTTTTTCTGCCATCCATTCCTACACGAAGCTTTTTTTTTTTTTTTTTTTTTTTTTTTTTTTTTTTTTTTTTTTTTTT